CTATATATATATATATATATATATTTCTTCATGTACCTATATAATGTGTTTTCTCAGTTTACAAACAGCATCTCGATGAAATGTGGGATTCGATTCGGGGAGCAAGCTATTTGGAAGAATGCAGTTCACTAACGGATCTAGACTCGCGACGAAAGTTACAGACTTCGATTTCTTACTGTACTCCTTTCCATATCGTCGTTGTTGCTTATCGATGCAGGGGTTATGTACATATCTACATGAAACCTTGGGGCTGGCGAGAACCCGGGATGCCGATAGAGGAAAAGTTCATATGATCAAGGATTCTGCTGATTTCACGATATTGGTCATTTCTCAAGAGATGAGCGCTAGAACTCGGCATACGACTCCTTTCGCGATTGTTTCCCCGAGCCCACTGAGACTCAAGCGAGATCGAAATCCTCGACAACCACGCGGTGAACCTCCGCGGCGAATAGAAACGCGAGGAATGAGATCTCTCTCTGATCTTGCTCTCCCCTGTGGGTTTTCCGGGTCGGAAGCGAGCGAGCTCTCCACAATGAACTTCGGCTCAGGTGAGGACTCATGATCGGTCATGTTCTTTTCGATTCAGCAACATTGTGTCGTCCATTCTTCATTGAATCGTTCGTTGGATAGATCATGGTACCCGGTGATTGAATATAGGATCGGATGCGTGGACTCCACGTCGCGTCTCTCGAAAAGTTCCCTTTGGATAGTTGCACCCTAGCCCTGTCGATCCCTCAACCGTGTGGTCATCGTGGGGATGATCATGGCTCGGCATCCGTAAGCGACATCGGAAAACTGCAAGAGGGGATCACCTTGAGAGAGAAACCTCGAATGATCCCCGAAGACAGAAACTATTCCGTACAGCTCGGATCGGATGTATATCAGAACGGAAACCATTGGGGTGAGGTGATCTCGGTGTCTGTGTTCGACGAGTCCTCCGAGCGAGGCCACGAGATTGCGACTGAGGAGTGAGGGAAAAAATGAAAAGAGATGGAACTCATATATAATTCCAAATATATATATATATAATATATAACAAGAAGTACTCGAATTATGGTGAGGTTACTTAAAGGTAAAGAAATAATGTTAATCGCTTTAAGAACTAGCCGGATGTCGTAAGAGTGCGCATGAAGCGATCCATTTACGATGAAACTAATACAGTCTTGACCCATAAAGTATCCATGGGTGAAATAACAGTAAATGCCGAATCCTTCCGTCCCAACAAAGCCAGTGATCATTATTCAACCGACACACCTCGAAGCAAAGCTGTCACGAGCGTTGCGGAATCAACTTCTTCCTTTTCTCTCGACAAATGTGCGTAAAAATCTGTCTGACGACAGCGACGGCATCAGGGAATGAGTGGAACTCTTCTCGATTCCCTTCTAGAGGGGAACGAAATCGATTCGATTCAGCAACTCCATGATTCCTGGTGCGTCATCCGTATGATCACTTCGACAAATTGCTTTTGCTCGAGGGCCCTTGATGAGCATGTTCGGTCATTTCACACAACTCATTCAGTATCCAAAGGATAGATATATACATTGACACACCGGGGACGACCGGGGGTCGCTCGGACTGTAGTCTGAGTCTCTGGACACACGCTTTGCTTAGGATCCATTATCCTCCTTGGTTCGTCGGCGGAACTCCTTAGTGTCGTCGACGGACAACTGAACGAGGGGTGTCGGCCCCGGATCTAGCTTTGAATGAGTCTGGAACGAGGGACGGAGGGATACCCCTTAGTCGCTTCCTGATTCGAGAGATGACACCATATTTTCCGTGATCACGATCGGAAACTATGTCAGATGAGACCCTTATGGTTAATCCTCGTCTGACCACCCTCTCACAGGCTTCCTTGAAGCCTCAGTTGGACTTCCGAGGAAGCTACGAGCATCATCAAAAATACAACAATGACCGGCCACAGGCGCGGCGACGAAGAGCGGCGATTCCGGTAGCTGTCGCGAATTTCCGGCGACGATATGGCTGATCGGAACCGTGTTTAATCGTCTTGCCTCCGCGGAGTCTCGAGCTCATACTTCTCCCAGTTATTTCATAGGGTGACAATCGCCCCTCATTTTTATCGAATGCCGATGAATCATGAGCTCCATGCATTCGCGGAATCCGATCGCTGGAGCCAAATTCGATTAATGCCAAGCAGGGAATACATATCGTTTTGCACAGGTCATCCCGGGATCATAAGCACCTCTAGTCTCGTCTCGGTCTCCCCGGCTTTAACCGAACTTTGATTTCGACGGGAGGAGAGGTCCAAGGCATTGAATAAGGTCTATTACAATAACTACATACGTTGATTCGTTTCGTCGATTTTACGAACGCATTGGCGTACATGCGATTACAAACCGTGAACTCAGAGATACTTGGGACGTTTATGTTGAGGGCTATCCATAATGACGTCATCGCTAGTTGGAGATCCCCGCAACAAACCATCTTGACTTGCGCTCGCTACTGAATGATGTCCGTGCGAAGGCAAGGGCAGGGTTCGCTTTCGACCGTGTCGCGCGAACTCTTCGGTGATGAAGTGACTGAGATCCGCTGTCTTCGACGTTCGAGGTGATGACGAATGATGAGCTCCGGACGCAGCTCCAACAGTGAACGCTGTAATCGAGGCGGAGGAAATTCTATCAGTGTCCCCTCGTGAGATTTAGAAGCTGAACGAGCCCTTGAATGAGAAGCATGAGCTCGACGATCGGATTTCACCCTTCGAAATCTGAACCGACTCTTTTCTTACTAACCGGATAAAGCCAGGGCCTGACGAAACGTCCCCAAGTCATCGTCGTCAATGGGTCCATGGGACGAATGGGGAGCCCCTGTCGCCTCACCCGAGGAAGGAACGCCTGCACTCAAGCTCAGACAGGTGAGCCCTCGTTGAACGTCGAAACGTCGAGGTGATCCCCACTGAGCTCCATTTCTACCAGTCTGCGTTGGCGGTGAAAGACGCGGATTGCGTCCAGACAAGAAGCTAATAAGATCTTCTCGTCGAATACTCCTTTTACGATTGTGCGCCCACGCCAAGATGTCCTTGAAGAGGAAATGGGAACAGTGAACGTGACGCACATACATCAAAACTTTCAGACATACCCCACAATTTCTACACACGAAAATCCGCTTGATTATCCCCATTCGGTGATCTCGTCCAAGGAATAGGAGTGGCTGGAGCCTGGATAAGCTGACGCGGTGGAAGGATCCCGAGCGAAGGGATCGAGTCGAATAGGGGCCCTACCTTATTCCGCCGGTGATTTCCGAATTGTATAGCTAGTTCTTGTTGTCGCTTCTGAGACTCGACGCATTCCTTGTACAATGATGTTACAGATGACGCCGCGTTTTGGAACGATGTCCATAGTCGGACTCCACTCTGGCATTCTGGAAATCACGAGGAGAAAATCTTCAGCTTCAGAGGATCCTCGAGGGAAGGAGCAGGGTGGAGTGTGGCTCTCTCCACATATGGCTAGACTAGATCTCCGATTTTCGTTCAAGAGATCTGAATTACGAAATACGGAAAGAAGCCCTCTGCACCACAGACCGAAGGCGGAGGAAAGGACGTAGCGGTCCATTCATACTCGGCAGGTTTTCGAGTCATCGCTCGATAGGTGCTCGATAGGATTCGAATCTCGCTACTCAGTATTCAGAATGATTCACGATGATGGCATTTCGCGGACCTTTCCTCGCAGCGAGAAGCGCGATGGAGAATCCAACGCGAGAGGGGACGACGATTCAAAGGGAGGAACAGCGGACGCCAATAGAATTCTGGAAAATTTCAAAACCTCGCATTCAGAGGCAGCGTCGGCTCACGGAGTCGCCCTTCGAGCGACTGCTGTGTATTCCCTAGTCACCAGAAATTGGCTTCTCCGCCTGCAGCTCAGCACAAAGCTAGAATTCCTCAGAACGTCTCCCGTCTGGAGAACTAGAGAGAGACGATGAGACGGCTCCGATCGGACGGATAATTTCCGGCTTCAGATTAGCTTCGACGAGTAAGATGAGGGACCGACCTCAAGCACGGTGACTCGAGCAGATAGAGTCGTATTATTCGGTCTAGCAACGAAACTACCGAAAACTCCCGTCGGAGATCGTTTGATGACGACATTTCATTTTGCGGTCTCTCGCCCTTCGGAAGAGCGTCACCACAGAGATTTCACCGAAGAGCAATACCTGGGGACGGCAACCGTCTGAACTCCAGGTTCCGCTGAGAAGGCTCGAGCCCCGACGAAATGCAGCTCAAAATTAAGAAGCTCTATCGCCAGACGAGCGGCGGCTCATATACTCGGAGGCGTGAAGAACACAGGAGCAATTCATGCCCTTCTCTTTGAATCCGAAACCTGCTGCTCTTCATCGACTCGCCAAAAGATCGTTCCAAATAACGGAATGCAATCTTCAACGACCACTAACGATCACCGGAAACGAACTCCGTGGAGTGATGCTTTCTGTTGGAACCCAAGGTCGAGCTCCCAACCGCATCGCACTTGTTCCAACTATGGCCAGATCACTCGAGGGCCGAGCTTTCCATCGATGCGACGATGCTCGCATCTAGGAACATGGGTCACTACAATATTGTACCCGAGTCGTGTGCCGATATTCGTCTCGATTCGACCGATAACCGAAAAAACGTATTTGAAGTGAGAAAGATCGCTTGCCGATCGCGGCCACCACAAGCAACTCGATGCCCCGTCTCTGTGTGCGAAGAACCGACACCAGCAATAGAAACACCATCACAACTCGCTTAAGGCACCTACCCTTGTACAGCTGAGCTACAGATGTCGCCGAAGTTTGAAATAGCAGAAATAAACGTTGGGCCACGGCGTCGCGTTCAGCAGCAATCTGGCTACCGATTGTAGATTCGCTTTCGTCGACTCTATCCGAGCACTCTTGTTCCCAACGACTCAGTCCACGCCAATCGCCCTGGTCCGACATCTTGGGATCATGGACGACGAGCTACGATATGAACAAAAAATAGAACGATCGACTCCTCCGTCGAGGCGTTCCCAGTCGAAGAGACGATCCCAATGGAGATCTCAGTTCGTCGTAAGCCTACAAATTCAACCTAAGAACGACTCTCGACGAGAAAACACACACACAGTCTGCTTGGCTGGATGCGATCACCACGAACCACACACCTTATACCAGCAGCAGCGGCCCTCGTCGTAGGTCGTAGCACACAAAACAGTCGTTGCTCCATACTGCCCTCTCCGATATCCGTCGACTAAGCCATCTGAGGGAGAGGATGCCCTTATTCGACGGAGAGATTTCCCGCCGTTCGAACCATCACCCCGAGTCTCGAACATGAGGTCCCCCTCTATTTCGGTGTAGAGGAGGAGAGAAGCGGGAGGGTTTCGATCACGCTTGTACCGAGAACTCGACCCGCACCGAACTACTGGAAGTAAATACGAGCGGGGTCCGAATCCCGCATTCCCATTGAACCGGTTCGATTCTCCAGGGACGAAAGCGCTTAGAGAGATCGGCGATCGGGATTCGATCATCTTTTTTTCCGGAAGGAACTTTCCGAGCTCTCTATGATGCGGAACCTATCGATAACGGAGTTCCGACCCTTCCACGTCGATGCGGATTAGCTCTATTGTGTGATCTTTCTGACGAACTTCCAACGGTAGATGCGCTTAAGATAATCCTGAGGCGTGAACTCTCATTTACGGACCCGGAGTATCGCCCGTCTCCAAGCGCCGGCCCATCGCATGAACGATTGGATGTCTTAGGCTTAATCGATCGAATCACTGGTTGGCGAACAGAGGGACGGTGTATTTCATGGTTTCTGCAGGAGATGTCTAAAGAGAAGGTTACTCCATCCACCGATTGGGTCCGGATCACTGGAACCCTAAGCCAATGTGATCCCAGTGCAATGATCCTTCAAGATCCAAATGAATCGTAGGAGTCGGAATTACAGTAACAGAATTCATCACGACGATCGATCATTCGGGCTAGAAGCCGGAGGACTGCCGGCGAAAATTGTCTCAGCTGGTTGTTCTAGTATCAGCAGAATGGTCACGAAGTAACACTTGAGAATTCTCCCCGATGGTATTACGAGTTCCCCTATCTGGCATCGGAGTTGCGTTTTGTTGCTTTGCGAAAGCCATCTCCGCCCCCTCCTCTCCCGAATACTGCAAAGTTCCGCGATCTAAATTCCCTGCGACAGTGACCGGGATATATCGAGCCGTGGAACATTGGCCCACGAACGGCAGTACAAACGCTGATGATTCCCCCGAAAGCCGTTCAAGGGAGGAAGGCCGAAGATGCACATTCTCGGAGAGCCTATCTGCTGTGAGAAACCATCGTGCGTTCCAGCACAGATCATCGTCATCATCATCAGTGATCTATACTAGGGCTCGACTTCCGTCGCGGCTTCTTAGCCGGAAATTCGCGGCATTTTCAGGCTCCCATAGAC